TTATTATTCCTGAATCCAAACTGACAGGGGTTTAGTACAGTGGACCCTCGACCAATGATGGCATCATCTAACGATAAAATCTGCTAACGGCATTTCTGCATAAAAATATTGGCTCGACCAACAATGAAAAACTCGGGTAACAACATTCGTCACGAACGCATCCGCCTGTCCATCCAGCCTGAGTGCGCTTCAGCTGCCCTGCCTTCAGCTAGTGTGCCATTGTTTACAAGCCACTGCAATCAGTTCCACATGTACCTGCGATACACTTTGTATTATTCCAGTGTTTTTAGTGCTTGTAACTGCTAAATAAGCCACCCTGTGGTAAAAAAGGTAAGAATTACTATGGAATTGAAGAAAGAGATAATCACAAAGTATGAAAGTGGAGTGTGTGCCTCCGAGCTGGCCAGGTTGTATAACAAACCCCAATCAACCATCGCTACTATCTTGGCCAACAGAAAGGCAATCAAGGAAGCTGTTGTTGTGAAAGGTGCAAGTATGTTTTCAAAACAGAGATCGCAAATACGTACTCAGAGATGTGGAGAGACTGTTGTTGGTGTGGATAAACGAAAAACAATTATCAGATAATGTTTCTCAGTCAGTAATATGTGAAAAGGCAAGGCAGTTGCATGACGATTTAATTAAAAAAATGCCTACAACTAATGGTGATGTTAGTGAATTTAAGGCCAGTAAAGGTTGGTTTGAGAGATTTAAGAATTGTAGTGGCATACACAGTGTGATAAGGCATGGTGAGGCTGCCAGTTGTGACCAAAAAGTGGCTGAAAAATATGTGCAGGAATTCAAGGAGTAAATAGATACTGAAAAATTAAAACCCCAACAAGTGTTAAAGAAAATGCCAAACGGTACCTACATTACACAGGAGGAAAAAGCAGGCTAACCTTAATGTTGTGTGGTAATGCTAGTGGTGATTGTAGAGTGAAGCTTCTCCTCGTGTATCACTCTGAAACTCCCAGAGTGTTCAGGAAAAACAATGTCGTCAAGGCTAATTTGTGTGTGATGTGGAGGGCAAACAGTAAGGCATGGGTCACTAGGGATTTTTTCTATGACTGGTTTTACCATGTGTTTGGCCCCACTGAAAAATTACCTCCTGGAAAATAAATTGGAGCTTAAGTGCCTCCTGGTATTAGACAATGCTCCTGGTCATCCTTCAGACTTGGCAGAGCAAATTTCGGGGGACTTGAGTTTTAGCAAAGTCAAGTTCTTGCCTCCTAATACCACTCCTCCTCCAGCCCATGGACCAGCAGGTCATTTTCAATTTCAAAAAACTGTACATCAAAGCAGTGTTTCAAAAGTGCTTTGAAGCAACCTCAGACACTGAATTGACCCTAAGAGAGTTTTGGAAAGATCACTTTAGTATCCTCAATTGCATAAACCTTATAGGTAAGGTTTGGGAGGGAGTGACTAACAGGACCTTGAACTCTGCTTGGAGGAAATTGTAGCCACAGTGTGTACAAGAGAGGGATTTTGAAGGATTTGGGGTTAACCCTCAGGAGCCTATGCCAGTTGTGGAATCTATTGTGTCATTGGGAGAGTCTATGGGGTTGGAGGTTAGTGGGGAGGATGTGGAAGAGTTGGTGGAGGACGACGATGAAGAACTAACCACTGTTGAGCTGCAAGAGCATCTGCAATAGCAAGAGACCACAACTGAGGAAATTGCTTTAAAGGAGGGGAGAGAGAAATGGAGGAAGTTGCCTTCTTCAACAATTAAGGACATTTGTACAATGTGGACAAAGGTGCAAGCCTTTATGGAAGAACATCACCCTGACACAGCTATTGCAAGCCATGCTGGTGACTTTTACAATGACAATGTTGTGGCCCATTTTAAGAAAATCTTAAAGGAATCCCAGGTACAGAGCTCTATGGACAGATTTTTGGTGCAACAGAGGTCCAGTGACTGTCAAGTTGTTCCCAGTGGCATTAAGAAAAGGGAAGTAACCCCGGAAAAGGACTCAGTACCTAAAGTCCTTATGGAAGAGGATTCCCCTTCCAAACAATAATACACCACCATCATCTAACCCCCTCCCAACTCATCACTCATCACTACATCTTCAATAAAGGTAAGTGCCATTTATTTTTCATGTAGTATTTACTGTGCATGTACCATTGTTTTCTGTGTAGGAAAATGTATATTTCATGTAAAAAAAAAAATCATACTTTTGGGTGTCTCGAATGGATTAATTGGATTTCCATTACTTCTTATGGGGAAAATTAAATCAGCTAATGATAAATTTGGCTAAGGACAAGCTCTCTGGAACGGATTAATATCGTTGGCCGATGATCCACTGTATGTTGTGTGAGACAAGGTAGGAATAGATCTGTCTATGAATTAATTTTTCAAAGATTTTAGAAGTCAGAGGTATGTTAGAAATTGGTCTATAGTTATTCAAGTCCTCTTGATCACCTCCTTTGTGGATCAGGGTGACCCTCACTATTTTGAGAATTGCTGGGAAGGTGGAGGATTCAATGGATTTGTTAAAGAGTCTTGCAATTATTGGTGACAGTATGTGTGTGAAGCTTTTTTGTACATAAAAAATGGTAAGTTATTTATGTCTCCTGCCTTGTTTTTAACGGTGTTGATGATGAGCGAGACTTCTGTTGGGTTGGTTGGGGCTAGGAATAGTGTATTCGGGTAGGTGCCCGTGAGGTAGTCTGATGGATGGGTGTTTGACATTGGGATTTTGCTCACTAGATTCTTTCCTATGGTGGAGAAGAAAACATCAAGTCTGTTTGCTGTTTCAATTGGCAAGAGTAAGAATTCGTCTGATTTTGTTAATTTGATTGTTTTGTTTTTGGTTATCTTTTTAGTTCCTAGAATTTCAGATAGGATTTTCCAGGTCTTTTTCATATCGCCTTTTATGTTATGTAATCTGTTTTCATAATACAATTTTTTTGACATTCTTATCAGGCTGGTAAGGACTGATGAGTAACATTTAAAAATTATCACTAGTTATTTGACCTATTGTGTACTGTTTTTCATACAGGTGCTTTGTGTTAATGGATTTAAGGATGCTGGGTGTTAGCCAGGGACTGTTCAGTCTCTTAGCTGTGATCTGTTTAGTTTTTTTAGGGCAATGCTTGTTATAGAGGTAGTGGGTCTTTTTTAGAAAATTATTAATACATTCATTCGTATCTGTATATGTTTCAAGCTCATTATACCAGTTGACATTATTCATAGCTGTTATAAAGTTATTAACAGTTGTCTCGTTATGTAGTCTGAAGGTAACTTTAGCAGTGTCTTGGGGCAATTTACCTAGGTTGGTTATGAGAAAGGTAGGGTAGTGGTTTGTGATTATGCCTGATTTTACAGGGGATATAGTGTTAGTCCAGATGTGGTCTAATAAGGAGATACTAGTCTTGGAGATTCTTGAAGGTTTTGTTACTGTTGGCAGCAACAAGCAGTCGCTCATAGTGTTTGTGAATTCAGTTACTTGTGGGTCCTGGTCATGTAGTAGATTTATGTTGAAATCTGCTGTGAGCAGCAGGTGGTCTTTGTTCATATGTGCATCAGTTATCATGTTTCCTAATTTTTCCCTAAAATGGTTAATGTTTGACTGTGGTACTCTGTAGATGTTTATCACTGTGAAGGGTTTTTGCAGGTCTTTTGATTTAAATTTAGCTATATATATTCTCCATGTTCATCCCTTGTGCAAGAATTATTGATACATTCAAGTTGATCTGAGTAGCATATAGCTGTTCCACCCCCTTGCTGTTCTGTCCTACAGTTGTGTATGGCTATGTAACCAGGAATGGCATAGACATCTGTAGTACCAGGCTTTAGCCAGGTTTCTGTGAGTGTGATGATTGACATACTGGTATGCAGGGAATGGAGTAATGCTGTGAGGTCATCGTAATGTTTGCTCAAAGATATGACATTGTAATTAAAGATAGTTATGTTATTGTTGGCTCTGAGTAATGTCTTTGCTTGGTCTGCTGTAAAATAATTACAGTTGCTGTTCGATTCGTGTAAGTCATTTAATAAAAGGTTGATATCAGGATCAATGCTTGTAATCATAAGGTTGAAAGTGACTCTACAACTAGACTTTTGAATAAAGTATTATGTTAAACTTAATTATGATACTAAACTAATTTATATTACTAACTAATGGATTGTTACAAGTAGTTTTTTAAAAAATACAGGGATACAGTTTGCTCTTAATATGGTACAGATTTGATGATTTTATATTGAACTGGTAATGGTAGTTATAAAAGAAAAATAAGAGAAAACAAAAATAATATTTATAATAATAGATTAAAATAAGTAATTATAAAATACAGGGATTATGCTAACTCTTATTATGGCACAAGTTTGACAATATAATATTGCACTGGTTATCAGTTCTATAATAATAGTTTATAATAGTAAGCAAGTAATGGTAAATTAAAAATAAAACAATAGAAATAAAAAGAGAGAATGTAGTGAACAACTGTAAAAAGTAAAATGCTCTGATAGTAAATATGGTGTTGAACAAAATTTAAGCAAGTAACATTAGTTAAAAAATATTTAAAAAGAAATAATTTCTATTACAAGTTATAAATTTTTATGAACAACTGTTAACCCGTAAACGGTCCAAACGTATATATACGTTTTTACCGCTAGTGCCCCAAACGTATATATACGTTTTATTTGTCATACATTCAACATTGCCACAATAAGCCTAAGTCACCTAGACATGAGAAAATGGGTGTGCGCACTCACTGTGCGCCATATTAAAATAATTGGGGATGCCTGGGTACCATATGCTTTTTTTTTCTATTAAAAAACAACAATTTTTTTTTCTCAAAAAGTTTGGGGCACTACGGGAGAGAACGTATATATACGTTTGGACCATTTACGGGTTAATATTCAGTATTGCACTGGTAGTAATATTAGAGCTTATAAAGGCAATATAGAGTATTTAAAAGCAAAGAACTACACTAAGAGAATATAGTGATTAATTGTAAGAAGTAGAATGGACTGATAATAAATGTGGTATTAAAACAAGTTTTTAACAAGTAATGGTAATTAATAATCTGTAAAAAATGTACAAAAGTAGAATGGACTGATAGTAAATATGGTATTAAAAAAAATTTTTAGCAAGTAATAGTAATTATAAGTATTTAAAAAATGGGGTTGCAACATGAACAGATAGTATTTATTGGATAAAATTTAAGCAAGGAATAGTAATTTAAGAAAAATACATAACATTCCACACTACTAATATTGTTAAAAAGCATCTATTAAATCTCACATAAATTTTAAATCCATTGACTGTATATTTTCATGCTTTGATTTCAACACCCCAATTCAACCACTCCATAATATGCTGGTTATTGAACCAATGTAATTTCAATGTAATTTATTTGTAATCAACCAATGCTTCATTTACAACCAGTCTCATTGTACTTGACTGTAATAAATTACCCAAGCTCTACTGATTTAAATTTTGTTCTAGGTCTAAAATACAAACAGTATGCAAGCCTTATAATTAGTTTGCCCAATAATTACATAATTAGTGACTTTCTTCTGAACCTTATACATGTATTGTATCCTCGCCCGTGGTATGGTTTGTTTGCAATCGTGTCATAATTTCGTGAGTCAAGCTATATATGTATTATAATAAGATCAAACTCAAAATTAAATCATTTTGAATGTACAACTACTGTAATTGTAGCTCAAATAAATAATTTAAATTTAAGAGATAAATCAGTCACTGCACACTAATGGTAAAGCCGCAACCTTTACTGAAAAGGACCATGACTCATCTTAAAGCATGCTCTGGAGCATGTGCCTGGGCCTTATCATCTGCTGTATAAAGAACTTCAGGGTAAAACAAACCAGCAGTATGACTGAGTACCTGAGGACTTCACTGTAACAATCAACTGATAAAGCTGCATCATCACAAGATTCCCCGACCTTCAACATCACAAGAGCCCTAATCTTCAGCATCACATGAGTCCTAATCTTCAACATCACAATTCCTAGTCTTCAACATCACAAGATCCCTAACTTTCAACATTGGCCAAGTACAGTTACAGCCAGTCTTTCCACTCACTTCAAAATGTTAAACAGCCCAAGCTCAACTTGAAGGTAAGTAACAAATAATGTACAGTATTAATGTAACCATGTTTTATAAATATACTCTTTCTTTTAATTGTCTGAACCTCACTATAGTTCAGGTATTTCACAGCATCATCAGTGACAATGATATGCAAGAAACACTATTATTTTAACCCTCTGACTGTTTCAGTCGTATATATACATCTTACGAGCCAATGTGTTTGACATATACACTCTCAAAAATTCTAGCAGCTTCAAATCAAGCAGGAAAAACTGGTAGGCCCACATATGAGAGAATGGGTCTGTGTGGTCAGTGTACACAGTATAAAAAAAATCCTGCAGCACGCAGTGCATAATGAGAAAAAAAAACTCCGACTGTGTTTTTGGATTAAAACGCCGACTTTGAGGTGTATTTTTGTAGTGTTTATGGTTGTATTCTTGTTTTCTAGGACTCATTTCATAGAATGGAAAACATATTATAGAAATAGAAGTGATTTTTATTAGTTTTACTATGAAAAGGATCTTGAAATGGAGCTCAAAGTAGCAGAAATGTTTGATTTTTGCCAAGTTCAAGAGTAAACAAATGATGTCGTTGTCCAATAAATGTCCTACTAGCCATTCTAATACGCAGTCACGAATGGGTTGACATTATTTATACAATTATTACAATATTATAGTAGTCTGCATAACAGTAAATCTTCTATTTTTTGTGTGAATAAAAATTCAAAATTGAAAGCAAGAGTATTATAACAGGGGCCTGGAGACGTGACTGATGAACAGAGAAAGTGTTATTTTAGTGCCAGGAATGTCTGCATTGTTCATTCTGGACCCTATTTTGAAATTGACATATTTTTTTAATTTGCATGAAATTGGCCAATTACCAATTTCTGACCACTTTATTGGGAAGTTGAAATCAGTAAATGGGTGGTTTCTTGTACTCAATCGGTAGAACAAATGGAGTTCTAAAGAACTAACTATGAGTTTAGTTGACTGGAACAATGGAATTGGCCGAAAATAGGGCTCAAAGTGGGCAAAATCGCATGCGTAAGTGTCGCCAAGGTCGCTAATTTCGCGAGAGCGTAATTCCATAAGTTTTCCATCAAATTTCGTACTTTTGGTGTCATTATCATTGGGAAAAGATTCTCTTTCATTTCATTAGATTTTTTATTTTTTCAAATATTTTGCAACACCAGGAGACACTTCAGGATTTGGGGTTGCAACAGTCAAAGGGTTAAGACATTAAAAAATTTTCTTATGGCTCTCAATGAGGTCTGAGGAATACAACCCTGTTTTTCCCATATGTTCTTCAGTCCATGGGTTGTTAAAATCATGGATAGCACAGTTTTCAGGATTGCAACCGTGAATTATAAATGTCACTTAACTCACTCATTCTCTCTCTGTTTTACTGTCTGACTGACTGTAGTCAGTTTAGTTAATGAGATAATATGCTAAAGAATACAAAAACTTTCAGGAGCTGAAAAGCACCTATAAAATAGAAGCACTGGAAAAATAGAACATTATATATGACATGAACTAATATATTAATTTTACAGTTTTGGAATAATTATTATTTTTAATGAACAATAATAATTATGTACACTCACAAACTATATCTACTACACAAGCTCTCCTGTGTGCCTTTTGGTATGTCTTTGCAAGTGAGTCTCTCTGAAAAAAGCTGCTCCACAGCGATCACATTTGTATGGTCTTTCTGCTTGATGTCTCCGTTCATGTGACTCTAAAATAGCTCGATCAGAAAATGTTAGACCGCATTTTTCACATTTATATGGCCGCTCTATAGTATGCTTTTGCCGATGACTTTTCAGATGACCTTCAGTGTTGAAACCAGCACCACAAAGATCACATTTAAAAGGTTTTTCTAATATGATTTTTTTTCTTGGTGCAAGCTCACCATTTGCTTGTTGTTGCCTAGCAAGAAGGTAAAAAGGATTATTTTCACCCATGTTGTGTTTGGTATCCATATGAGCTTTTAAATCAGAACTGTGCATTAACATAGTACCACATATATCACATCTGTAAGTTGCATCTTCTACAGGTTTTCTTTTACCTGACAAATCTGTTAACAATGAAGGCTGAGAAGAGCCTGTAGCAGCAATAGGATAGGAAGAAACAGAATTAACCATATGATGATTTGATGGTGGTGCAATGCTAGTTGTGGGTCCTGTGGAGCATGTGGCCACAATGTTAGTGGGCACAGTGCTTACTGCATTCACCAAGTTTGGTAAATTTAATATATTGGGAAAGTTATGGACACCCTGTTGATGGTAAATATTTGTCATATTCACAACAAGTGCAGAATTCTGTGAACTCTCTCCCATTCTGTGTTTCCTCATATGCCAGACTAACATGCTGTTTTGTAGAAACTGAGCACCACATTCATCACACTTAAATGGCATCTCCCCAGTGTGACTCCTTTTGTGCCACTCAAGTGTACTATTGTATGAAAATTTTGCTCCACAATCATCACATTTATATGGTTTTCGTCGGGAATGAAGCCTCAGATGTTGTTTCAGTGTATCTTGATTGTCAAATGCTGCTTCACAAAATTCACACTTTACATTATGTTCCCAATATAGATTAACATTCATGATTATATTTGTTTTGAGCTTATGGATATCTATAAGCAAATTACAAACACCATTGTCCTTATGGCAAAGTTATAAATGATGCTCATTCAGTTGTGGCATAATTCTGAAATATAAAGAATTTTGCATATTAGGTATCTGATAACATTTTATATATATACATGATTTGAGTTGAATAATCATAAAAATAATGTAATATACAGCCTCTCCTCACTTAGCGCAGTACTCGTTTACCGATGACTCAGACTTACGACAGGCTCTCTGACCAGTATTCATACCTAAATAATGTATATTAGAGCTGGTTTCCTCTATACTGTTTATTACAATATACAGTACATTACTATATAAACATTTAAAAATATACTAAAAATGTTAAATGAAGAGAGCATGTAATCAAGAGAAAGCATGCAGTTACTGAAGTCATAAAATTTCAGTATAATAAATTAAACAGTAATTGGCAAGACTTATAATATATACAGTACTGTATCTTAGAAAAAGTACAAACCAGTAGTTGTGAATTACTGTAGATTAAAAGTTACACTAAAATTACAAGATTTCATAAATTTTTTAACTATAACAGCCATTTCCCCCAAGATAAGGTGAATCAAAAATGGAAACATCACAATTCAAATAATCCTCTGAACTTTAATATTTTCACCCCTACTTCACAGACTGGGTATCTCCAGGTATACTTCATTTCCGGGACTCAAGTCTGGCCAACTGGTTTTCCTGAATCCCTTCATAAATATTGTTCACACTCCAACAGCACATCAAATCCTTAAAACTGCTTGTCTCCACCCCAATGTAATAAGCTAATGCATGACTGCTCGATGCTGAATGTTCTACCATGTAAAATCTCCCTCACACCCTCCCTTCAACCCTTTCTGGGAAGACTACCAAGCTTTCCTTCAGCCCTGATTTATACACTTTCTTGGTCATCTTACTTTGCTCCATCCTTTCTAAATACCCAAAGTGTCTCAACAATTCCTCCTCAACCCTTTGTACCATACTGTTCATAACTCAACACCATCTAATACAGCACCCTCCACCAAAAACTCAGGACATTAAAAAATGGGTCAGAATCATAATCTTTGGATACCCTCTCTACATGGACTCATCCTATTTAACTCAAAGTGAACATGCCACTAGACCTAAAAGATTTAAAGGTCCCAGACTGTTGCCAGATGGGTGGGTCCAGTGCCTCTCCCTCAGAAGATCTGGGTGCCAGGCCTACATTTCGTACTTACTGAAGTGTATCAGCCCCCTCAGCATAGGTGTTACAAATGCCAGCACTATGGCCACACTGCAGTAGACTGCAAAATACTCCATTCAAGCCATAACAATATTGTAAAAAAATTAACCATTCTTAAGTGTTTTCATAACCATTCTGAAGTGTTTGCACACTGTTGCCTGAGCATAATAACCTTACCATCTTATGAGTAGATAGATTACAAAAAAATTTCATCAAACACTGCTTCCATCAGGAAGTCAGTTATTAGTACAACCAAAAATATTGATATCATCTGTAGGAATATAGACTATGAGCTGGAGTACCTCCCCCAAAGTTGCCTGGATATGCAACATATAACTTATGGTCAACTAACTGTTGTGTGATCTATGTTAGAAAGAACTTGCTGCATTAATAATAATAATAATAATAATAATAATAATAATAATAATAATAATAATAATAATATCTTTATTTACTACAAGTACATGTACAGTGGTAGATGTACTTGTAGTACATGTACTGCCGCCACCACCACCACCACTATACGGCTTATGCTGTCAGGGGTCCTGATAAACCCAACACCACCACCACTAGTCACATAAGTAATGACATATTTTATTCATTCTAGAGTATATATTATGTTTCTATGTTATTAATATTGTTTATTATGTCTTATTAGATGAAGTGTGATAGATAAATAAGCCTTTGAGTTGATATTAGCATCATGTTTAAGTATTTTGTCCTGTCTCCAAACAATAAACTCTCCTTCCTCTCCACCCTTGCCATTTTCCATATGCCAACAAGAGTCTTCAATAAAAAGCTTCACAAGTACTGTCAGCAATTACTGCAACACTTTTTAATAAATCCATTGAATCCTCCACCTTCCCAGCAGCTCTCAAAATAGCTAGGGACAAGGTTTTGTCACTGAACATGTTGCAGATATGGCTTGTTTGAGCTTGGTCAGGGTGATATTTCTCTACAAAACTTTGCAACTCACTCCACTTTGCACACATGTCCTCAATCACTGAAGAAGGCACATTCTCACCTCTCTCTTCCTCCTCCTCCTCCTCCTCCTCTAAAGCAATTTCATCAGCTATGGTCTGTTGCTGTTGCAAATAAAGGTCTTGCAGCTCTTCAGTGGTTAGCTCTTCCCTGTGGTCCTCCACAAACTCTTCCAACTCCTCACCACTTACAGCCAACCCCATGGACTTCCCCAAAAACACAATAGATTCCATAACAGGCATAGGGTCATCAGGGTCAGACTCAAATCCTTCAAAATCCTTCTCTTGGAAACATTCTGTCCACAATTTTCTCCAAGCAGAGTTCAAAGTACTGGAAGTTACTCCCTCCCAAGCCTTACCTATAAGGTTTATGCAATGGAGGATATTAAAGTGATTCCTCCAGAACTCTCTTAGGGTCATGTCAGTGTTTGAGGTCACTTCAAAGCACCTTTGGAACACTGCTTTCATGTAGAGGTTTTTGAAGTTAGAAATGACCTGCTGGTCTATGGGCTGGATGAGAGGAGTAGTGTTAGGAGGCAAGAACTTCACTGTTATAAAACTGAAGTCCCTAAACAAATGGTCTTCCAAGTCTAGAGGATGAGCAGGAGAATTGTCCAGTACCAGGAGGCACTTGAGTGGCAATTTATTTTCCTGAAGGTATTTTTTCACACTTGGCCAAACACTTCATGGACCCAGTCAATGAAAATTTGCCTTGTGACCATGCCTTATTATTAGCTTTGTACAACACACACAATTTACTCTTGACAACATTGTTTTTCTTGAACACTCTGGGATTTTCAGTGTGATACAAAACACTATCTCCACAATACTATCTCCCGTTAATTGTTTATCGTTGATCCACACCAACAATAACCTCTCCACATCTTCGATTACTGGTGACCTTTGTTTCATTAGCATATTTACCCCTTTTGCAACATTAGCTTCCTTGATTTCTACTTTGTTTGCCAGGATGAAAGTGATTGTTGATTTGGATTTCCCATACATCTTGGCAAGCTGGAGCACAGGTACACCACTCTTGAACTTTGCTACAATTTCTTTCTTTAATTCCATCGTGTTTCTCACTTTCTTTACCAAAGGAATTTTACTAGGAACTTTCTTTGTGCCCATGGTGGCTTATTTCACAGTTGTACTCAATAAACACCCAGAAAAAACAATGGATTATAACGAAATGTTCGGATGAATGCACGGAGTCTTCCTCACTCTCTGAGAGACACAGCCAAACTGAATCACGAACACGGCGGAGTGGCAGGATGGACGTGTCCAATACGGCTGATTTCTGAGTTGACGGCCGAAATCCAGGATAGAATTTCAGCCAAAAAAGTGGCTGAAATCCGAATTGGCCAATATCTGGAATGGCCAATAACAAAGGGTCCACTGTACAAGGTTTTGTCAATATTAAGTGTTAGTTTATTGGCTGTCATCCATATTGATATTTTTACTAGCTCTTCATTAACAATAGTGTTGAGTGAAGCAAGATTAGGATGGGAGATGACATAAGTCGTGTTGTCAGCAAAGAGAATAGGTTTAAGGTGTTTTGATACATTAGGAAGATCATTGATGTATAAGAGGAAGAGCAGGAGACCAAGGACACTTCCTTGTGGTACTCAAGTATCCAGTGGTCTTATTGATGAGGTTGTGTCCTTAATAGAGATGATTTGATGTCTTTTAATACAGTAGGATTTGAAATATGTAAGTGTGTGGCCTCTTATACCATAATGATCAAGTTTGTGGAGTAGGATGTTGTGGTCTACTGTATCAAAAGCTTTCCTTAGGTAGATTAAGTCCTAATGGATATTCATTTTTTCAAGTGCTGTGTAAAGCAGGTCTAGCATTTTTACAATTGTGTTTGTGCTTTTGCTTTTCCTGAAGCCAAACTAGCAGGGGTTGAGGATGCTTTGCACTGTTATAAAGGAGAATAATCTTTTGCGCACGAGTTTCTCTAAGATTTTTGATAGCAACAGTAAGTTTAGTATTGGCCTGTAGTTGTTTACATCTGTAGGGTCACCACCTTTGTGTATTGGTGTAACCCTTGCCATCTTGAGTAGTGTCGGGAAAGTGCTGGTTTCTAGTGATTTGTTAAAGAGTAATGGAATAGTGGGTGAAAGAACGTGAGCTGCTTGTCTGTACAATAATGGCGGGACTTGAGCCAGATTTCCTGATTTATTTTTAATCGACTTAATAATCGTGGTAACTTCTTTGGGCTTGATTGGTGCAAGATAGGAAGAGGCTGGGAAATTCCCATCTAAGTAATCACTTTCTCGGACATTGGTACCTCAGATTTTACTGGCAAGATTTGATCCTATGGTTGAGAAAAAGTCATTTATGTTGTTAACTGTATCAAAAGGCTAGGAAAAAATAAACTTGCTAATGAATTAGTTTTGCAGTGATTTTAGATAACAATTCACGTTTGATATTGGCACACAGAAGGCATGCATAGTCCCTTTGTATAAAGGCAAAGGGAAGAAAAGAGAGTGCAAAAATTATAGGCAAATAAGCCTGTTAAGTATACCTGGTAAAGTGTATGGTAGTTATTATTGAAAGAATTAAGAGTAAGACATAGAGCAGGATCACAGATGAACAAGGAGGCTTTAGGAAGAGTAGAGGAGTGTGTAGACCAAGTGTTTACAGTGAAACATATAGGTGAACAGTATTTATATAAGGGAAAAGAGGTTTTTAGTTGTACAGCCTCTCTTCACTTAGTGACGTACTCATTTACCGACAACTCGGACTTACGACGGGCTCTCTGACCAGTATGCATACCTAAATAATGTACGCATATTAGAGCTGATTTCCTCTATTCTGTGTATTACAATATACAGTACATTATTGTATAAACATTCAAAACATACC